GGTAGAACAACTGTCCTCAAGGCAACTGCTGGCCTCAGCTATTTAGGGACAGCTCCTGACAGGGTGCCTGGCATCAGCTGCTGCTGACATTGTTTGTCACAATCTTGGTTGATTCAGTGCAAATACACACACATGCACATGCACACACACCTGTTGACTCATATCTGCTTTCATATAGCACTGCTGGGCCTCTACATGCCTGGGCCTCACTAGACAGGTGGCCTCCAAAGCACCCCCACGGTGGACAGGCACGGCCGCACAGCCTGTGACAACTACCACCCGCTCACCAGCAGCGGCCTCCCTGCTGAGCCGGTTCGGCTGCTTTTTTTAAATTTATTGCGTGCAACATTTTTTTTTTTTTTGGCACACTGAGGCTACATTTATCTGGATCCTTGTCAATTCAAGGGTCCAGATAAAATCCAGATGAGATTTAAGACACTTTCATTTCACACTTTTCTTCATATATGCATCTCTTGGCCACATCACAAATATAATCCATCTCAGGTTTGACCAGGGTAAATGCAATTCAGGGTCAGCTCTCCTCCAGAAGAATAACTTATGAACTTTAGCAGTTTAATTACAACAATAACAGATTAGCAAGTGTTAGCTAATAACTAGCATTTAGATTATCCACCCACGACACATCCCAGCAGGCACTGGACGTCAATGTAATGTCAGAAAGATGTTGGACTCTGACGACTCTAACGTCGGACACGTGTTAAATTTTGGTTGGAAATGTAGATTTGTTGAAGGCCAAAACCCAATTGACATTTAGCCGATGTTGGGTTTTGCTCATGACTAGAATTTTGGTATTTTATATGGCGTGACATTTTATGTGAAATTGAGGTTGGCATGAGACGTTGTCCTGACTCATCTCACGTCACAACCTACATTCAACCAAATATCAACATCTAACAACGTTGGTGGTCAGCTGCATAGCCGCAAAAAAATGTACAGTATACTGTCAGAGCAATTTGAAAGATGATGTAGTCGAATAAAATAATCGACATATAAGGTCTGTAAATACGCATTCTTTGAATTATTGTGCGGCATGACAACAAACTGTAATCTGAACATCGACATATTGTCACCACACCGGCTTGATTACACAGAGCCTTCATTCATTTGGCGTCGTGTTTGTGCAGCTAACAGGTCTGACATTCACTCTACATGTAGCTTTGTCTGCTCTGCACCAACTCCTGAGTGAAATACAGTATCTGTCTCTTTAGCTGCTCAATGCTCCACTATGTTCACCAGCGACTGTCTGTCTGCTGTCTGCTGCTGGTCAGTTAGTGTACAGTGGTTTTATCAGAGCATTTGCATGCAGAGTTTTCATCACAGCTGCCTGATGCTTCTGAAAACGACACTCATGAAAGCAGTGAGAGTGACCCAACACAGAAAAGTGCAGATATCATCATCTGCAGAGTCAGATGATAATTTCCTGTGGGTTCATCACTACGAGTAACTGCTCTCATATTACACGCTGATGTTTGATCCCTTGTTGATATGAAATTATCGATCGGACCACCTTAAATTATCTTTTTTAATGAAATAAAATGACCACAACGCCTCAGTATGCACAAACCAAAACAACAATAAATCTAACCAATGCCTGATCTTATAAAATTGCGGGTCGACAAGTTTACACAAGCTGGTTGAACCTGCCCAGTGCAAAAAGAGCAGACAGCTGAAATGACTAGTGGGGAGAGTGAACAGACTCAGGGGTCGGGGAAGCAAACTGGGGACTATAACGTGAGTGAAGATTTACATTTGGCACCAACAAGATTCCACAGAAATGCACATGTTGCTTGAAATCATCTGTATCTTGTTAAAATACAACCAGGACTCTAAGGTCACGGCATTTAATGTAATTTTAGCAATTTGCCAGCTGATTATTTTCATCATTTTATGCGTAAGACGTACAAGTTCCACAATACATCCACAGTTTGTGTGATTTGTGGCTTCTATGTCACACCAGCCTATTTTCAGCAGCATAATGAAGTTCTGTTCTATTCTGAGCGTGGCTAAGGTGGCAGGATCAAAGAGGACACGGACGATCGGCAAACCTCAGAGAGTCTAGCGTTTCATGACCTAGCATGAGTTCCTCCTCCGCACAGACTCTGGGATTGCCAGATCTCACTGTCCAGTTTCTGTGACAGTGTGTCCCTTATATTCTCCTTTTAACTGCTTTCTCAGATCCTCTTTTAGGTTGTGCTCCCGTGTACTTCTGAGATCAAACTGTCTTTTGAAGTGGGGAGTCTCTCTCTCTTCTCTCTGTCTAGCCTTGAGATGAAAGAGGAGCACGGGGCGACACAGAGTGGCCTCTGCAGACGGAGGTAGCCATGGGGTCTCTCTCTTTCTCTCTCTTCTTTGCGCTCTCCCTCTCTCTCTCTCTCTCTCTGCCTGCCAAAATCCCCCAGCAGTGATAGAAACCAGAGGAGGACAAAAGGCAGCGGAGCACTGCGGCCCTCCGGCCCATGTAGTCTCTCTGGCTAATTGAAAATGGCTTTGCGCTCCTCTTTGCTCTCTTCCCCTGCTCAAATGGTCCTGCTGTCTTCCTTCTCTCTCTCTCTCTTGCTTTCTCCCCTGCTTGTCCACCCCTCTCCCGGGACAACCCTCTCTCCTTCCTCCCCCCCTATCTCTCTCGCCCTCTCTCTCTCTCTCTCTCTCTCTCTCTCTCAGCGCTGGACCGTGCTGATCTTGGGACATCCCCAGTATTTTTTGGCCTTTGAAGGCAAATATAATTGAGTGGTAATATGAGACGTATTCTCTTTTTCCTCTGCATGCCTCGCTCAATGGGTTATGGAATATTGAAGTTCAAAGTAGGCGCGGTGAACGTGTTATTTCTTCTTTCTCCTCTCCCTTCGTGGTGATTGCAGTGTGAAAGGAATTTTAGTGAAATGAGGAGCTGAGGAGATTTTATTTGGATGGAAACTCCGGCCCATTGGCTTACCTTGACCCAGCTCAGCTCACGATTTGAGCAAACAGCTCAGAAAAACTATAAGACAGGTTTCACCCTCCAATGAAAGCAAATTATGGAATAGATGAGCTGGTAATCAAATTCTTCCCGAGCCAAGAGAGCAGGCCAGAGCGTAATGAAATGGAGTTTTTATTATTTACAGCAGAGCTACAGTGCAGAGGGTGTGCGTGCATATCATTTACAATCATTTCCATCCATCTGTACAACAGGAGCAGTCTCTCAGTCTCTGTGTTTCTCATCACTCCAACAAGCGGACATGTTCCAGGTTGATCTTTCCACGTGATAATAAATACAGTACAATAAGGCAATGTTGCTATTTACATCTCTTATAAAACTGTACAGGAGAAGACAGATATGTATCAAGGTCTGTCACAAAAATTAAAATACAACCACTTTATTTCATAGAAGATAAATAATAGCTAATTTTTAACCACTGCAAAAATATGAAAACATATGTTAGTGCAGAGAGAAAGCCTCTCCTCTTTCCACTTCTCTTGTTCACCCCTCTTTTGTGTGTGCATCCGTCTTTTTAGGAATGTGCATGCTATAATTATGGGAGGCCTTTCATACAGTAGCTACATAGTTGAGTTATTTTCTATTTTCTACTTCCTACATCGCCTCAGTCTCCTGTCAGATAAATACAATGAGCATGGGAACAAAGTGAGAGCATTGTCTTCTTATTTCAAACGTGGGCTCTCGGTGGTAGCCTGATATTTCCCAACCTTTCACACAGAATTAGTGCGCCTGCTCCTCAAAGCTCACTGTTTAAATTCTGCACATTTCCCAGTGTTTCTTTTCATTAGACGCTCACAGTGAGTAATCTCCCCTTACCAGGAATTCAGCACTTAATTAGCTCAGGAGAGAAAAAATAATCAGAGCTTTAATGGGGCAAATTTATTTCAAATTGCACACAGCAGTGTGAGCCCCCTGACGAGGCTAGTGGAGGATATTAAGCAGGGTTCTGGTGGCGGTGTGAGAAGCGGTGCTGCTAAAGGGAGTTTGAGATCGATGTACATATGAAATCTCCCAGTGAGAGCAAACAGAAACCGTGCCATAACTTCTGACTGTATTCCTGTAACACAGCACCGGGCCCTCTCTCGGCAGTTTGGCTATTTTTATTAGCTCTAGCGTAGCTGTAAATCAGCACCACGTTAGCCACCCAACCCACCCCAGACACATTTCTTTAGTCCCATTTCTTTTACTCCAGCCTTCCGGTCTCTAACGCAGCGCAAAGTCAACAGATAATCTGCCTTTCCCTCCTCGTGTTATTTGATCACTACTAACAAACACCCGCCGCAGTCTAAGTACAGTTAGGCTGGATGGATATGTGGCTATGGAAATAGCCCTGTTGTGTACTGGGTGTGGATGGTGCCAAGATAATCAGAAGGATTTGAGGAATGCCTCTGCCATGGCTGGACTCTCAGTTTTTCTCTGTGTCTTTGGGGAACTTGAGTGCTTTGATTGCATTACGACTTCATTACTGGGTTAGTTAGCTTTGGAATAATATTTGGAGTAGAGGAATGCAGCTCAGTGACAGGCCACACATAAATTAACATCATCTGAGTAGTGTGATTATGAGGTTAATGTAGTGAAATAAATTCATGCAGCGTGTCGCTGCTTGAATGACTGTGTGCTGCAGGGGAAGACTGAGGGCCCACAATGCTTGTGTAGAAGAGAAAGCTACATGTAGACAACAAAAAAAGAGCCAAACAGGCCCGACAATCATCAGAAGGAAGAGGTCGGTCAGCCTTCTTTCTACACCCTCAATCCCACACGCTTCTTTTACCCCAGAGCAGCGCCAAGTGGGCAATTAAAAGTTGTTCTCATCTCAGGGGTCAAAAGTCTGTGAGAAAATTTGGGATTGTAAAAGGAAGAGAGGGAATGGGGTTTAGAAGATTGAGTCCCCTTATTATTTTTGCAGGCCCCCATGTAGGGGCTAGGCTGTCTATGTGTACTCCTGCCCTTTTAGTTGTCCTTTGATGATGACATCATCATACCCGGTGCGACCGTCTCTGTAACATCAGGGCCCCTCATCGATGCTGGCATCCATGCATTTCTGGATGGTCACCCTGCGGATGGAGGGTTTGGACGTCAGCTCGGGCTTGGGCGGGAACTGCTCCATCAGGATGTGCAGGACTGAGTCCATTTTCTGGTCCATCTGATGGACCTGGATTTAACACAATGACAAAAGACAAACAGGTTAGGTCAGCTGAGTGCCTCCAGCATAAACACTCTGAACATAAGTACAGCGTAGACCTGCGTTTATAACAAAGAATGTCATTGAGTCTGTGCTTTTGTTTCACATCCATCTGCCTCTTTAATACAGTTCCATCCCAATGACAGAGCAGCGCAGGGTATAATGACATGTTAGTCTGCCAGTCGCTGTCTACCTGCTGAAGCCACTCATTACAAAAGCTGTTGAGCTATATGATCCCTGAGTGGGCAGACACACACTCACACGCACACACATATGCAGGCCGCTGTTGTTTACACACTTCCCCAACTGTAAACACAGGTGTGTCACCCAACAGAGACATCTCTGACAGGGTGCAGCCCACCTAACCATAGTGTGAATACAGATGAATGGCTCCACCTGACTGATGGAAGTAAACGAACAACGGACTGCCTGGTGACATTCAAATACAATGAGGACATCTGCATATGTACACACCCAGACACATTCGTGAACTCACTACACACACACACACAGCCTTGTGACTTCAAAGGGATTTTCTACATCTTCACAGCCTTGGCCTTGGTTTTACCTCTGTACTTATCTAGTTAGCCCTCCAGAAATACTTAGTCAGCGCACAAACAGACACACACACACACACACACACACACACACACACACACACACACACACACACACACACACAAACCAATATCCTCTGATGGCTCCAATGGCTTCAAGAAACCAGGGAAAATGATAAAGATGGCGCTCCGTAAATCAAAGCCTAAACAGCAAAGCACATCAAAGAGCCATAACATCTCACGTACCAGGCAGAACAGACAGATGCAGACTCCCGTCTCTACTACTAACTGATAGCGAACAACTCCGGCCCAACTGCAGCATTTCTGGCAGGACACAGTATGATAGTTAACATCAATGGCATTTTCATAGGCTTAAGGGTATGGCCCCTCTTTCTCCTTGTCTTTTAGTGTGTGCGCCTGATGGCCCGGACGTTTTTATGGCGGAGCAGGACATTTAGCAGCTATTATTGTTGTTGAAATATGAGCCATAATAGGAAGCATAAATCTGAAATATCAGAATGCGTCACAGAGAAGAATGAAATCACATCACAGCACGCCAATGATCATAATTTATACAAAAGTGAGCATTGTCAAGATGTCTGACAAACATTACGAGTCCGGACAAACTTATTATTTTTGATTTTTTTCTTTGCCAGCAAACAACTCTGTTGTCAAATTTTTAGGGTGGCTCAAGCTTCTAGATCTCATTACTACATAATCTATGTTTTAGAGTTGTGTAAATCTACAGTTAAAGACTATAAACTTTAGGTTATGTGTAAGGTAATATACATGTAAATTGGCTGCTCGGAAGAATGACTTTTTCTTTCCATCAGTTGTAAATGTTGAATATACAGTATAATGGAGCAAGAATAACTTCATTTTGACCTTTTTTTTTCCTCTGAGGTTCAGTGATGTTTCACCATCCACAGCGCTTTCCTCTGAGATTGTACCATGACCTAAATAGTTGTGCTAAGTAGACGAAGCACGCGCTGGGCCCGGATGAAGCTTAGAGAATAATAGGCTATCATAAACATGTTGGGCAGTAATCTACAGACTTATCAACATTCTCGTTGGGGCTTAAAATGGATCAGGAATTCCTCCTGCTGTGCATGTGTGTGTGTGTGTGTGTGTGTGTGTGTGTGTGTGTGTGTGTGTGTG